GTGGTCTCAGCTGTCCGAGCTCCTCAGCTGGCAGTTCTCCTCCGTCACCAAGCGAGGCCTGAACCAGGAGCAGCTCAACATGCTGGCTGACAAACTCCATCATGGGCTTCATCAGTAAGGAGAGGGAGAAGGCTCTGCTCAGTGATAAGTGTCCCGGGACCTTCCTGCTCAGGTTCAGTGAGAGCAGCAGAGAGGGAGCCATCACCTTTACCTGGATGGAATACGACCTCTGCAGTGAGTGAAGGACTGATGCTGTTCATGTCTTATGTAAAGGAAGAATGTGAGACTCTTTGATCCAGTAGATATCGCCCTTTAGCACCAGCATTAAACCAAAAACATACAATATGCTCAGATAGGTCGTGCTGTGCTACCCCCAAAACTTTCCGCTCAGTATCTGACATTTTCTGATCTTTAAATTGAAGAACAGTTGTCTACTCCCTCTCTCTCTCTTTCACTCTGTGGAGCCGTACGAGAAGAAGGAGCTGTCAGCCGTCTCTCTGCTCGACATCATCCGTAACTACAAAGTGACGGCTGTCGAGAACATCCCAGAGAACCCGCTCCACTTCCTCTACCCCAACATCCCAAAAGACAAGGCCTTCGGGAAATACTACCCCAAACCCACAGAGAGTAAGTGTTCTGGTTCCACAGTAACACCATATGATCTGTTTATAAAATATGAGGTTTTCTTAAATTTCAAGTATTAATGCTTCTTTTAAGAGTGTTTATTAAACTAACAACAATCTGCAGGTGCTGTTAAAACATTAGACCTTTTATACAAACAAGCTGATGAGAGGTTTTTTATTACCTAAAACTGCTCGTTTATTTAATGCTTATTGGGGACTAAATGCTGTTAAAGTTGAATCTGTGTTTATTTGACTTTTAGCTCAGGAGCCCATGAATGTGGAGAACAAAGACAGAGCTCATTTCTGTCTCTGAAGTGTGAGCAGAGAATGTCACTTTTTAAACACATGTCAAATATTTTATTGGTAATGCATTGAGCAGATTTAATTTGGATTTGCTTTCTGTTCAGACATCCGTCCAGACTGCAGGACAACATGTTGCCCATGTCTCCTGATGACTACAGAGACATTGATGCTGTGGTGAGTATTTTGATAAGCTGCTGAACCAGCTTCTGTGTGCACCTCTTTAAATACTGCTGTTGACAGTCTGCACAGGGTTTGTTTTTTTTACAGGTGAAGATTTCTGTTAATTCATCACCTGTAAAGAAACAACACCTCAGATGAATGTAGACGAGTAAACTGCACGATATGTCCATCTGAGATGAACCAGTAGATGTGTAGAAATTTAAACCCAGCTTTACTCTGTCTGTATTTATCTGTTATTTTGTCCTTATTGATGTTAAATGCAGTTGCTTCAAGTATTGTTGTGTCACAAACCAGTAACCAAAGCTTAAATTTGGAGATGTTTTTATGGGGTTTGGCCAGTAATGGGAGCTAAGTTTTGCTGTGTGTTTTTTCTTCCTCTTGCTCTGTTCAGACCAACAATCTGCTTGGATTTGAAGAGTTTGATGTTCAGGTAGAGGCAGCCTCAGTTTGTTTCTCTACACTGAATAGTGCATCAGCTTAAGTGTCATTTTCTTCATGTGTTGTTGCATGCATGACATCTAACATACAGAGAAAGAAATATGAATCAGAAAGTATAAAAATCTAAACATGTCCTCCAGTTGCATGAATTTAACTGTTCTACATGCAAAGGTGTGGATTTAAGTCGTTTTCACATCTGCACTCCTGAAAATATCTAGATCATTACAGGAGGACTGCTCCAGAGATTCTCCTGATCTGGTTGTTCACATATCCACCTCACAGCTGGGGACTACAACTGTCAGACAGGAGGGGGGGCGGCGAGGGGTCTCCTGAGGTATACGATGCTATAATGAGAATATTTGTCTTTAAATCAATGCTACGTGTAGTTGAACAGAATCACAATGTGAACTAAAGAGTGGAGAAGAACAAACTGGAGAACAGGAAACATGCAGCAGCAGGTTGATTAGAGCACGGAGATGGTAGAGGTGGCGTGCAGACAGTCTGTGGTCGAGCAGCAGTCACAGGATATAAACGTCACTCCCCCTCCCATTGGCCCGAGGTGAATATTCCAGATAATATTCTGCTGCGTTCTCACATCAGCTCACTCTGACTAACTGCTGAAAAGAATACTACAGTAGGGTTCTGGAAGGAGAAACTCTGGGTGAAGTCCAAATGAAAAGTTTGGCCATTTACATTCACACATACAGCTCCTCCTGCAAATATCAGGAGTTTTCTGCAAGTGTGAAACCCCTTTAGTCTGTCTTTTAAAGGGGTCTGTCTAAGACAGACTAAGACAGAATAACCTGTCCTCTGATTGTAAGCGACACTCTCTTTTCTTTTTTTTCTTCTGAAGAAAGCAAATCAATTCTTTTCTTCTTTCTGAGTGCAGACTTGGAGTGAGACCAAAACTGTCAACTGAGAAGTTTCTTCATTTCATCCAAGTCTTCTTTCTGTACTCTCTTTCAGTGTCTTTGTTTCGTCAGCGGTTGAACTCTGATGATCATTTTATCTGCTCTTAGAAGTGTGGTAAAAACCCTCACTACTTTTAAGTTAGATACAGGTCAGTGCAGTAACCAGTCACCTTCTAGACACATTTGAGTGATTACATTCACTCTACTTGGAAGTCAAAGAATTTATATTTTTGCACGATAATTACGAGGCAGAAAAGGCTTAAAAAGACGTGGATTGAAAACAAAAACCCTTATCTGCCAGCTGTGTTTTATTTAGTTATAGTAGTTTACAGCTTTCATTGTCTGTTTTCTTTGATTTTGAGGAAACTTGTTTATTGTAGTCTTTAATTATCTACCACTAATAAGAAAATAAGAAAAATATATTGCCTAATATGTCATGGGAACACAATCTGCTTTCTTCCTCAGTAGTGAAACGCTCCAACGTACACAAGAATATGCAATCAATGAAGTTACACTTCAGATTCTTTGAGAGACTAACATGCATGTGTGATTAACAGACAATGGATTTTAATTAACATAAGCAGTAAACAGTTGCTTTTTATAATTAAAAATTAAAAAAGAATTAAAAAAATATGTTATCTGTGATTAAGTCAAGTCACATTTATTTATAAAGAAATAAAACAAAGAAAGCAGTTTGAATTTGTATCTAGAACAAGAAAGGTGAAAAAAACAAAACTTCCAAATGCAGTAATTCACAGAGTGACCACAGGAGGGCGCAGTTTCACCTTTAAACTCCATCTTTACACATTAGTATCTCAAACTAACTTCGGAGCTTCAGTACAAAGTTTTCACTCATCCCGTGTCTTCATTTATCTGCTTCTTAGACACTTTGGAGAACGACAGGGAGAGGAAGAGAGAAACTGGAGGTAAACATCATTCAGCAGTGAATTTATCTGTGAGTAACAATTCAGTCAGTGTCCTAAAGACCGGAAAACAGGTTAGCTTCGTCCCCTGCTAACGAATGCAGTTAGTTACCATGGTGACCCGAGTTTGACTTTCTCATGTTGCTTGGTTACCAAGAGTTCAAAGTTTAAAAAAACATAAAAACAAGTAAATTACATTAATAAATATTTTTATCAATAAAACATTTGATTTTTGACTTAGTCTTGTTTTTGTGTCCTCTTATTTATAACTTTTTCATTTCTTCCATAGAAACTTTCTGCGACACTTCCTGTTGAGCTTCCGGTAATCACGCCCAGGTGTGTTCAGGTGTTCTCAGGTGTGTATATCATTGTTTCGAGCAGGTAAGCGGTGCGGACCGCGGGCAGCCTGGCTGTGGATCAAAGCGGTGGAAGAAGAAGGAGCCGGGGAAGGAGAGATGAAGTCTAGATACTCAGTGAGTCTTTAAAAGTTCAGTTTTGTGTGAAAAGCCACAAAATAGAAACACGTGGGGCTGTATGCTAATGCTAACACGTGGGCTAATGCTCATGCTAAATGTTTGTTAAGAGGAAACATCGTCAAAGTAAGATGATGATAACATTTATCAACATTATGAAGGTCACTTTTGAACTTGTTTTCTCCTGTTAAACTAATTGTTTAAACACCGGGTAAAAGTAAACTTTAAAAACAAAACTTATAATTTAAACTAATATCAGATTGAAGAGTTTAAATAAAACAATAACCTCAATTTAAGTTTATTGACTAATATGTAAACTAGTTAATCCGAGGTAAAATGATTTTCTAAACATTACTGTTCACAGAGCTCAGAGATTAAATGTTCATCTTGATAAAGTAATATGAATAAACTTCTTTATTTAATTTAAAAGTAAAAGCTTTTAATCCAGTTTTCTGTGTTTAATTCAAACTCAAAGAAACAAAAGTCTGATTAATTTATTTTAAACCTTTAACTTTAATTAGAGTCTTTGTTCTTGTGACAGTTAATGTATGGTAAAAATGTTTAATCTTAAACTTAATGTTTCTATATTATATTCTACATTTAAACTTTTATTTAAGTTTGCTTCAGTCTCATCCAAAAGCCTTAAAGTGAAGTTAAACACAGATCATTTACAGTGAATGATGAAACTCAGGTTTATTCCAGTCATCACAATGTTGTATAATCAAACATTTTCTGAGTTTTATTAACTTGATGAACTAAAATGTGTTTTTCTTCTCCAACAGGAACTCTGTCGACGTCTTCCTGCTCAGGTAGGAGACTCAAAGCTTTCTTAATGTTGTTTTATTATGTTCCAGGTTTTAGGTCTTATAGATGTTTAGACTCAGTTATTTTAATCATTTCATCCTTTTTGGAGTGGAGGATCATCAGGTGTTTAATGAAATACTTCATTTTTATAATCCTTACTTCATTAAACACCTGATGTTCCTCCACTCCAAAAAGGATCAAATAACTGAGTCTAAACATTTATACGACCTAAACCTGGAACATAATAAAACATCAAGAAAGCTTTGAGCTCCTACCCAATGGGGACGCCTGTGACGCCTTATTGTATTGTGCTTATGTAACATGTACAAAAAACAGAGGTCATGGCTGTTCAATATTTTATTGTAATAAAACTACTGCTCTGTCCATTCTGCATCAGTGACTTCTGTAATTATGTTCTGTTATCTGCCAGGTGTGTTTTATTTATAGTAGCTTACAGGTTTCATTGTTCTGAGGAAACTTGTCTGTAGTTATCTCCCCAGTAAGCATGTTTCCTAATGGAAATTTATCAAATGTTATAATAAAATATCCAAACTTCAAATGAAAACAAATATCACAGCTGATTAACAAAGAAGGAAACAACTACAACAAAACATCCATTAGGAATTGAAGATGCTGACAACACAAACATGAAACAAATTAAGACTTTAAAATTATTAAATTGTGTTATCAAAGTGTGTTAAGAGAAAACTGCAAATGAAAATTAAAGCAAACAGACTAAACTAAAACTATAGCTGAAAGATAAAAACAAACTATGACTGAAAGAAAACTAAAACAGCCAACAAGTAAACTTTAATCTGAAGAAAATCCTTCCAGCTGCAGCACAGATCCTACTCTTCAGAGTTCAGAGCGAGGAAACACCTGGAATATAAAAAACAAAGACATCAGGGTTCAAAGTTCATTTCAGGTTGCATTTACAGGTAATTTACAGCTAGGATTGTAGAATGAGCCATTCTGATACATTAACAATAAATTAATTAAGTCAAAAGAATCTCTACATCTACAGCAAAGTGAGTTAAGATTAAAATTTAAACGTTTGTAGCATCATTTACATTTTGCCCTACGAATAAAATCAAGAATATGACTATATGTGACTGAAACAGTTAAAATAAACACAAGAGCCAAGAAAAATACTCACCAAATGTTGAAGGAAGCAGGTGAGGCAGCGTGGTGTAGCATACATGTTAACAGCTCTTTGTCTTGTTTTGGTCAGGCTGCCCCTAAAAGTTAGAAAAAAGACACATCACAATTAGTTTAAACTTAAAAATGTTAGTTATTGTAAAGTGTTTGGAGACAAGTGAATAAAACTGGACTGATTCATGAAAGTTAACATTAAGTTTGTTCATCATGTCACATTGGGCCTGTTTTTTTGGGAGAGAGAGAGAGAGAGAGAGAGAGGCGTTACATCTGTGATCAGGTTCAGCTGTAGTGCATTAGTCCTTAATGTCGTTGGTTATCTGCCAGCTGTGTTTTATTTAGTTAAAGTAGTTTACATGTTTATTGTTAGCCGATAAATCTGTCACCCAAAAGGAGAAGTCAATCAAATCCTTTTGAGGACCAAGACCTTGAAGCTCATCATACAGAGCACTGATAATAACTTTAATTATCTGTGGTTTTTAACATCCTCTCTCTCTAGAGCTGCTGGTTGAGTGTGTGAAGAACAAGGACTTAAAGAAGGTGAGTGACAGTTTCATCTCTCACTACAGACCTTTGCACCTCATTTCTACATACTCACATGTGTCTTTGAATCGAATCATCATCATCTGCAGGGAGCTGCACCTGGAGGGAGCCCCACCTGGAGGGAGCCCCACCTGGAGGGAGCCCGACCTGACGTCACTCGACTCGTCCGGCTGCAGGTTACGTCATCACGCTGCCAGTGCAGGAAGCAAAGAGATGGTCCTCTACATCCTCCACAGGTGTGTGTACAGTCCTCCACGTGTTTGGTGCTCGTAGGTTGACAGTCAGACAAACTCCTCTTTTCATTTCTTCACCAGATTGAATAAGGAGTTAAAACTACAAGACACAAGAACATTTAGTTTAGTCATAACCAAAGTTCTACAATAAACAATAAACTAATACACGACAAAAGAAAGCTTAGTTGTTAACTTCAGTCCAGTGAAGAAACTTACATTTCTGTTGCTGCCTGCTGTGTGCAGCCTTGAAGATGAAAGAAGGAACCCTTAACTTCCTGCTTCCTTTATAGGCAGGGCTTGATGAGTCACTTCCTGTAGCAGTCTCTGACAGGCCAACAGGGGGTGCCATTGCACCATGTGTAGCTCATTTAAAGAATCTTAGTTGTTGTTTTTTTACCATTAATGAATGTATGTGGGTTCTTTTCAAAATAGGAATATGATGTTTTTTTCTTTCTGTATTTTAGTGTTTGAATAAATGGGAAACTTTCAATGACAGGCTTGTAAAACAAAAAGTCAGTTCAATCAATCTTTATTTTGTAGAGCACCAACTCAATACAAATGTTATCTGAAGACACAAAAAGCAGGTAAGAGAGAGTCTTGCAGGGGGGCCACTGTTGATGTCTGTTCCTCGGGTGATGTTGTCAGATGCTGTAATCTCTCTCTCTCTCTCTCTCTCTCTCTTCTGTTGACCAGGGGGGAGACGGTCCTTCACCGAGCTGCGTCCCTGTCTCAAAGAACTATCTGTCATTATCTGGTCCAAGCAGGAGCCTCGCTCACAAGACAGACCTACAGTTTCAGCTCGCACCCAAAACAGACGCTAACCTGCAGGTTTTAAAATGGATATCTGCGTCCAATTCTCACCATCAGTGCAGTCTGTGTGTGTTCGCCTCAAAGCGGCATCTTCTCTCATTTTGTTCACATTTCCATGGAGGTTTGGAGCCTCACTGGCTGGACTCAGCAATGACCTCGATACAGAGAGAGGAGAGGCAGACAGTGACATTTCTACATAAGTAGTTTCTTTCTTGGTGTTCACATATCATGTAAACAGTTCTCTAGTGACTTCACTGATGCTCCATATTTTACTTGAGCTCCTTTTAACTTTGAACCATATTATCCTGATATATGATTGACCATATGTATATATAATAAATAAAATCTTATGTCATGGTGGGAACAATGAACCATTAATGAATTTAGGTTAGTATGTTGTTTAAGAAAAAAAGTTAGGAAGTAAATTATATTAAGTAGATTATATTAAGTAAATTAAGTAAGTTTCATCCAACACACAAATCAAAGAAAACGGACAATACAACTTTAAACTAAATCTATAACTAAACAAAACTACAGCTGGAAGATAAAAACAACAAACATTAAAGACTAGACAACAGCTAAAAGGTAAATAAAACAACAGCTAAAAGGTAAATAAAACAACAGCTAACAAGTCAACCAAAAAGGCTAACAGGTAAACTAAGACAACAATCTCTTCATCCAGCCTTCTGTGTTTAATTTACTCCCAAGAAACAGCAGTCTGATTCATTTATTATTTAAGTGCAGTAACCAACAACTAACCACCAGAGGGCGCCCTCTCTATATAAAGTGATTTATAAACGATATAATGCATTTATTTTCAACCTATACATTTTAATTAGAGTCTTACATCATTGTTTGCTAAATTATTTATATTAAAGCTGCATTTTTACCTTAGACCTTTTCCTAGTAGCTTTCATTTTACTTTTCAAACTTTTAATCAATTTAATTAGTTTATTTTCCTTTGGTTTTCTTAATGAAAATACCACAAACCTTTTTATTGATTTAATTGAAATGATTAATTTGATTAAATTTATTTTTATTTTATTTTTATTATTTTTTTCTTACAGCTCATTGAGCTAGTTTAGATTAAACATAAATTAAAAGGAAACATTTACAAGTTAAAAAGGACTATCACAGACTTTTAGTTTAGGAGCATCTATGGCTCATTTACAGCTAGGATTGAACAATATGTGAAAAGTAAATGGGCCATTCTGATACATTACTCACTAAATTAACTGTTTTTTTCATCTGAAAATACTTCTTACCTTTGTGAAAGAAAAGTCAAATAATATTGTTGCCACGAGCGGATCAAATACGAGGAGGAGCAACCTGTACAAACAGCTGGATGACAAGAATAGACTAAAGTCAAAGACAAGACACAACATTAGAAGCACAGTTTGAAGACAACCTGCTTAAAGATTCTAAATACAAATACTTTCATTTTCTCAATTCTTATTACTTGATGTCCTTTTCTTGTAATAATTCACAGGATGATGAGATCAACCAACAGAGTCTGCTGCTGGCTGACAAACTCAAGGAGCAGAAGATGGACACAAATCCGTTTGTACATCTCCACAAAACTCTGGAGGCACCACAAGCAGCTCAGCCGCCTCAGAGACCAGATCCAAGACCAGCAGAGGATGATGGAGGAGCTCATTCATTTACAATCATAAACTACTTCAATTAGAAGTGCCAGATTTTATCAAGCAGACATCAACATTAACTCTGGCCACATTATACATTTTATTTTCCTCCTTTTTGTTTGAACCAGGGCCTGTTACTGGAGCAGACTCATGACAGACAGCTGGAGAAAGATGCAACACTACAGAAGCTCATGTATGTACCAGCTAACACATCACATCTCCATTATTCATTAGTCTGTGTGTCCTCAATTCATCCACATTTTGTGTCCAGACTGCTGAACGATCAGAGGATCTGAAGGGCCTCCAGGACACGGTGTGAGTATTTCATCCCCCCATTTAAAGTGTCATGTCATTTAAAAACCCAACAGCTTTTGGTCCTCCTTGTCTGAACTCAGCTGAGGGTAGTGTTGTAGTCAAGAGCACACTAAGACCACACAGAGTCACAAATATGTGTGTGTGCAGGGGACGTTTTACTCACTTGGAGCGTAACACCAGGAAGGTTGTGGTCGTAACCGGGGACTGAAGTTATTTGATGTTTTTACCTTCTAGTCCCAGACCGAGACCTTCAAAATGTGGACTCTGATTGGCCTGTTTTTGTTAACGATGCTGAGGTTACCAAAGCAACAGATCACAAAAGTTCAAATGGACTCAGGAGAAGATCGAGAAACATCCAACGCAAGCAGACGAAATCATTTGAATGATCACCTGTCTGTCCATGTAGCTTTGTTTCTTTTCATCTGAACTCCTCGGTCTTCTTATATCTGTGAATCTGTAGCTCTGGATTTATCAACAGGAAGTGCTCTGGATTTATCAACAGGAAGTGCTCTGGATATTAACAGGAAGTGCTCTGGTTATCAACAGGAAGTGCTCTGGATTTATCAACAGGAAGTTATAAAGGAAACAGGAAGTTGAGGATTCTTTCTTTAATCTGCACACAGCAGGCAGCAACAGAAATGTAAGTTCCTGTCCTGAAGTTAAAGTTTAACATTAGCATGTAGCTTAACATTAGCATGTAGCTTAACATTAGCCTTGTTATAATTTGTGACGTATCGCATCTGATGTAGCATACCACGTGGCTTAGCATTAGCATGTAGCTTAGCATTAGCATGTGGCTTAACATTAGCCTCGTTATAATTTGTGACGTATTGTATCTGATGTAGCATACCACGTGGCTTAGCATTAGCATGTAGCTTAGCATTAGCATGTAGCCGCCGTATCTGTCTTCTCTGCAGCCTTCAGTATTATGAGTTTGGTGAGTCAGAGCGACACACACACACACACGATGAGTCATGACATGTCAAAGAAGACGATTGAAACAACTTGAACAACTTAAAAAAACAGTTTTTATTTCAAGTCAAACATTTTTAACCTTCTCTCTACAGATAGATGAACCAGACCTTTTCATTTCTACTCACATGAGTCATGCTGTGCTCCTCCATGAGGAACCTCTTTGTTAGTCTAAACTAAATGTAAACTTTGTTGGTCTAAACTAAATGTGAACTTTGTCTCTGTTAGTCTAAACTAAATGTAAACTTTGTTGGTCTAAACTAAATGTAAACTTTGTTGGTCTAAACTAAATGTGAACTTTGTCTCTGTTAGTCTAAACTAAATGTAAACTTTGTTGGTCTAAACTAAATGTAAACTTTGTCTCTGTTAGTCTAAACTAAATGTAAACTTTGTCTTTGTTAGTCTAAACTAAATGTAAACTTTGTCTTTGTTAGTCTAAACTAAATGTAAACTTTGTTGGTCTAAACTAAATGTAAACTTTGTCTTTGTTAGTCTAAACTAAATGTAAACTTTGTTGGTCTAAACTAAATGTAAACTTTGTCTTTGTTAGTCTAAACTAAATGTAAACTTTGTCTTTGTTAGTCTAAACTAAATGTAAACTTTGTTGGTCTAAACTAAATGTAAACTTTGTCTTTGTTAGTTTAAACTAAATGTAAACTTTGTTGGTCTAAACTAAATGTAAACTTTGTCTTTGTTCGTTCAAACTAAATGTAAACTTTGTCTTTGTTAGTCTAAACTAAATGTAAACTTTGTCTTTGTTGGTCTAAACTAAATGTAAACTTTGTCTTTGTTGGTCTAAACTAAATGTAAACTTTGTCTTTGTTGGTCTAAACTAAATGTAAACTTTGTGTTTGTTGGTCTAAACTAAATGTAAACTTTGTCTTTGTTAGTCTAAACTAAATGTAAACTTTGTGTTTGAATTGCAGGAGCTGCACCTGAAGGGAGCAAAGAGATGATCTCCTCTTTTCATTTCTTCACCAGATTGAAGGAGTGAAAACTACAAGACACAAGAAGTTTAGTCATTACCAAAGTTCTGTATAAATTCAAACAATAAACTAATACAAGTTGTTGCTAATGCTAAGCTACATGCTAATGCTAAACCTTAACTTCAGTACAGGAACTTACATTTCTGTTGCTGCTTGCTGTGTGCAGATTAGAGAAAGAACCCTGAACTTCCTGTTTCCTTTATAACTTCCTGTTCCCTGAATGATCCATGTAAACAGTGTCTCTAGTGACTTCACTGATGCTCCATATTTTACTTGAGCTCCTTTTAACTTTGACCATATTATCCTGATATATGATTGACCATGTGTATATATAATAAATCAAATCTTATGTCATGGTGGGAACAATGAACCATTAATGAATTTAGGTTAGTACACTATATTTAGTTCATTAACTCATCCAACACTTTAAATAAAGGCTCTGACATGTTCACAAAACTTCAAACACTCTTGATTTTCTTTTTCATCACCCTGTGCTTGTGTTACTCATGAAACACCAGGGGGAACTGATACTGTAGAAGCTGGACTTGAACCAGTGTGTATGTATTGCAGATGCCAGGACAATTCCACTTGGCCACTGGTCCTTTCCTACTTGGAGATTTGTTCCGAGCGTATTTATCATCGTCATTTCAGATTTCCACTTAAAAATTAAAAATAAGATTCCAATCCTCCATCACCAGACACAGTGGGATTTGAACCCTGGCTCTCCATCTACAGAGTTTGGAAACCGCAATCTTATCCTCTACACTACCGATACCTTCACACTATAAGATGTGTTCCGGGCGTATTTATCTTCATCATTTCAGATGTTAGACTTTAAAAGTCACTGAGTCCTGGTAAGACTTGAACCCACAACCTCCAGACTCCAAGTCCTCCTTCTATCTCTTGAGCCACAGAGACAGATGCTTGACTATGTTTCTCAGATCTCTTGAGTCTTTCCATTGGATCAACACCTTTAAGATAATGGTGTGTGTCCTGTGGATCGATACTTGCAGGTGCTTCACTGTGTTTCTCCTCTGGAGTCTTTCATTTAGGACCGACACCTTTAAAATTCACTGAGTCCTGATAAGATTTGAACCCACGACCTGCAGACTCCAAGTCCTCCATCTATCTCCTGAGCCACAGAGACAGATGCAGACAGATGTTTCCTGCTGGATCTGTGTGTTGTTTTGTTCAAGTCTAAGATTTGTTGTTTAATCTATGTTAAATAAATGATTTATATTTCTATATATTTTGTCCAGACAAGAATAAACAGCAGCTTTCAGCAGCAGCTCACGACTTGCTTATGCAGCGGTCTTGGGCGTAACATCTCGTGTTACAACGACAAACATAATCGTGTCTGTCATGGCGCTGTGGCGCCCTCTGTCTGCATTTGTTTGGCTTCCTGGCTTGGCAGACAGCAGGCGGAGTCAGGAAGGCCATTAGTCCACCTGGGTACACCTGAGTCCACCAGGACTCTGCTTATAAGTGGCTTCCAGTCTAACTTGTCTCCCCTCTCTTTCTCCCAGGCCTCCACCAACTGGTTTGATTTTGTTCCCACTTTACAACACTACACTCATCCATACATTGCATTCATGACTGATTTACATAATTATGATTATTTGATAATAAATTTACTTCCTTTTAAACCTTGTTTCATGTGTGATACCCTTCCTTTGTCACTTCCTGCAACAACTCTAAAATTAAGGATGACCTCATGTTTACTTAACCATCTTTTGCACTATTATCCTATTTAGCCTTGTACATATTAGTCTTTGCTTGTAAGTTTATTGTTGATATTTAATATTATACCTTTGTACAAAGAGAGCATAGTTTACTAGTAAAATTAAAAGTAAAAGTAAAATTCCTTGAGTGTTGTGATGCACCTGGCCAGTAAAGCTGATTCTGAAGGATTTCTGTGGCTTTGATAACTGTTGGAATTATTTGGCCTCTTTAATAATACTAATTGGTGTTGTATTTTATATCGTTGGAAAGCCTGATCAGTCACCTTTACAACGAGGTATAACTTGTAAGCATCGTGCATTCATGGAACGTGCAACACAGCTAAACGTGTGAGTAGCACTCTAAAGAAATGTGCCAAAATGGACACAGCAGTAGTTTTATTACAATAAAATATTGAACAGACATGATGACCTCTGTGTTTTGTACACGTTACATCAGCACAATACAATAAGGTGTGACAGGTGAGGGGGTTACATCCAGCCAGTCCCCTTCCCCCCCACTATCCTCCAGCCCCCATTGGGTAGGAGCTCAAAGCTTTCTTAATGTTGTTTTATTATGTTCCAGGTTTTAGGTGGAGTTATGAGTTTTGTATGTTGAGCAGATTTAAGGAGTTATGACCTCCTTTAGACATGGACATACAGCGCTGGTATTACTTCCTGATCTAGGTAGCATCAGTGTCCTGTTAAAAGTTAAACTCTCTTTAACCCGTCAAAGGAGAAGTGATTCAAATCATTTTCAGGGAAAATAGTTAACTGTAACATTCAGGACACTGATGCTACCTTCAGGATAACGTTAGATCAGGAAGTAATACCAGCACTGGATGTCCATGTCTAAAGGAGGTCATAACTCCTTAAATCAGCTTTAACATAACATAACATAACATAACATAATGCTATGTAGCTGTCGACTAACGATACCTAATAGATTAAAAAATAATAATGTAGTTTTATATTAAACACCTGATGTTCCTCAACTCTAAATAGACTTCTAGCTGATCAAAAAGGATGAAGTCAAATGATTAAAATAACTGAGTCTAAACATCTATAAGACCTAAAACCTGGAACATAATAAAACAACATTAAGAAAGCTTTGAGTCTCCTACCTGAGCAGGAAGACGGCCACCGACGGGGGATCCTCCTGGAAGACGTCGACGGAGTTCCTGTTGGAGAAGAAAAACACATTTTAGTTCATCAAGTTAATAAAACTCAAAATGTTTGTGATTATAAAACATTGTGATGACTGGAATAAACCTGAGTTTCATCATTCACTGTAAATTATCTGTGTTTAACTTCACTTTAAGGCTTTTGGATGAGACTGAAGCAAACTTAAATTCAAAGTTTAAATGTAGAATATAATATAGAAACATTAAGTATAAGGTCTTAAGAAACATCTTAACAGATCTATCTTATATTATAAGTTCTATAAGTTTGTTTAACTTTCACCTGATCGAGCTTTGGGGGGAAAGAAAATGCTCTATACATTTATATATATAATATATATTCAGAGTTGTAATTGATCTGTGATATTATCAATAAACTTAATATAATGGAGCACATAAGGTAGGTGAAGAAGAGTTATGAGCATATGAAAGTTAATAAAATCAAGGCAAGGAAGAAGAATTTTTAAACAACCTTTTTAACTTGTAAATGTTTCATTTTAATTTAAGTGTTTAATCTGAACTCTCATTGAGCTGTAAGATGTACTCATATCAAAATATTTGAATCCTAATCAAATAAGATTTAATCAAATTGATCATTTCAATTAAATCAATAAAAAGGTTTTGTGGTATTTTCATTAAGAAAAACTAAAAACTAATTTAATTAACTAAAAGGTAAAAATTCAGCTTTAATATAAATAATTTAGCATACAATGATGTAATCTTAAATATCAAATCACTTTATTGACTTACAAAATTAACTGTCACAAAAACAAAAACTCTAATTAAAGTTAAAGGTTTAAAATAAATGCATTATATCGTTTATAAATCACTTTATATAGAGAGGGCGCCCTCTGGTGGTTAGTTGTTGGTTACTGCACTTAAATAATAAATGAATCAGACTGCTGTTTCTTTGAGTAAATTAAACACAGAAGGCTGGATGAAGAGCTTTTACTTTTTAAATGAAATAAATGAAGTTTATTCATATTACTTTATCAAGATGAACATTTAATCTCTGAGCTCTGTGAACAGTAATGTTTAGAAAATCATTTTACCTCGGAGCTACAGCACAGAGCGAGGAAACACCTGCACACACCTGTACAAAGAAACAAGAAGAAAACCCTGAATGTTGAGTTCAAACAACAACTTTCTCTTCACTTTTGTTTGAATCTCTCAGACACACGATGTTGTTATGGTTCAGTTAGCATTAGCATTAGCATACAAACACGTTTTCTCTTCTTCTTCTTCTTCTTCTTCTTCAATTCTTCTTTTCGCAGCATTTTCATCCAAACTCGGACAGCCGTCATCCGCTCGAGTGGTCCGGGGTCGATATTAAGACCCTTTTTCAAACCGACCCCTCCACCAGGGCTCTCCAACAGGTAGCTCTTCATCAAGGTGTAGGTAGAAATACAGCGGCAGGCTTTGGGACAAACTTCCCTCTCTCAGGTGGAAACAGGAACTGTGTGTTACCATGGTTACTCAGCGGAATCTTACAGGAACTGTGTGTTACCATGGTTACTCAGCGGCATCTTGCGGGAACGGCTTTTTTTTGTTGCTAATGCATTCTGTAAAAATCTTTATGTAGCCTAGATTATTCTTATTCTTTATTTATATTAGTGTAGACTTATAACAAAACTATTAGATTGAGTCTACATTGTTTATTGTACATATGTACATATGTTTTATTTTTATTTTTAATAATTTTATTCCTGTTTCCTGTTTTCTTGAGCTGCTGTAATGCAAACATTTCCCCTGTGGGGGATCAATAAAGTTTATCTTTATCTTTAAGAGGATACATTTCTGTTATAGTGACTGTTGGATGTAATTGTAACCCATTGCCAGCAGAGGGCAGCAGTGTAATATGAATGCATGATGCAGCGGTTAATTAGACCTGACCTGTTAACCTCCAGGTGAGCTGTGTTGTAATATTTACAGTCTATGGCTGTAAAGTGTAGAAGTTACATTACAGCCAGCCTGATTGAAGATGGAATATCTGCCTCTTATTTAACCTCTACGCCACCATCACATCTGCCTGTCTGTTTGCAGTACATTAGGCCAGTTTAAAATCATCTCCAAGGGGAGTAAATCTAGAATCTAGTGAGACATTGTGTAATTAAGCTCTTTTCTGTGACAACAGGCTCAGACTGTGGTTAACTTTTTTACATCACAGCAACACAGATATATATATTTACACACTTTATTTCAACAGAAGTATGGAGTGACCCTTTAAAATCCCAAAACAAACAGTAGATCCAAAACTATTGTTCAGGGATGTGTGAGCATGACGTGCAGCCACATCACCAACAGCAGCCACACATTTCACCAATATGGAGTTAATAATGCGACCATGGAAGCAAAGATCAGGCATCACGTCACATTCACAGTCTGGAGAAAAAGTTCAAATGGAGACGTCCAGACAGGGAGAGCTCAGTCTCCATCTCGAAATGATCTTCACATCAATTATCAAGCTGTTAGTCCTGAAATTGCCGGAATCCTTCACAGTATTTTGTAGAGGGTTACAGAGGTACGTCACAGCTCGTGGACAGATGTGGAATAAAGTGGGTGCATCTCTGAATGACAGTTCTCAGTCGTGGTCCTTTTGTCAGGCATCAACAATAAAGAACAGATAACAAATGATTTCAAATGCTGCCGCCCCTGCAGCATTAAAAAAAACAATTACATAAGGGGAGTACGTTTTGTAACAAAGCGCTAAAACCTAACATGACAATCTATAACATAAACCACCATGTTCACACAACACTTTTTTATTTACTTCACCTTTATTTCAACGTTGCCATGTTCATTTCAGTCGTGTGTAAATACATACATGTACAAGAACAAACTAAATATAGGTCATACATTGGGTGGAAAAAAAAAAGCATAAAGACATCAGTAATTGTTGATCTAGTCAGTCCTTAAATGGCTCGACTTCAACTAATGACGGATGTTTTGAACGATAAATGTGCTGGGACGGTTCTGCATGTAAGGGGTGTTGGACTGATGTAGTGAGGGATATGAGGACACATATGATTAAACATATAGGATATCAAGTATTGGCCGTGTCTGTGATACATTTCCAGACTACATGCATGTATTTACACACGACTGAAATGAACAAGGCAACTTTTAAATATAAGTGAAGTTAAAAAAAATTATAATAATTGAAAAAAAAGTAAATGATAGAATCTAGTGAGACATTGTGTAATTATGAACATAAATGATCATCTTTGATAATATGTAAGCCTTCCTGTAAAGGTGTTTTAAATATCATCCCTACAAGTTGTTCAGCACTTTTGACAGGAAGCGTTTCAACAGAAAGAGCATTAATGAGTGATTGGATGAAACCTGCGGAGGTAACACATGGAGACAAACTCAACATGTCTCACTTTGCACTGAAAACTGTCACAGGTGGATTGAAATGTCTACATTCATATTTTTTGTCTTTTCTGCCAAACAATGATTCAATAATATTCTTCATGTCGTCTTTAAAGAACATTTCTCCATTTTCTCCTCGGCTTTAAGAAACTCTTGTTTAATGTCCTTCTCACAGTTTTACACCTTAGGGTGTTTGATTCTCATTGATGCTCTCTCAGCGTTTAGTATCAACATGTTGCCAGCTTATTATGACACATGACTGAGAAGCTGTGTGTCAGTGCTGACAGTGAGCAGGAAATCATCATTTATATTTATCTTATTTAACTAAAAAAATAAAAAATTCATAATAAATTCACGTGAAGTACCTCTCCTGGGCAGCAGATGGCGTAAGCTGTGATTGAATATATACTGTATAACAAGGTTCTTCATTTCAACTATAAAAACGAAAGCTTTCTGTTGACACTTACATATTTTTTAAATCCTCCTGGACTGTAAGCTGGCATTAAGTTGCTGGAATAGTTCCCGTCCTCCCAACACAAGCGTCAAGGTAAAGTAAAGTTTAGACTCTGTGTGTTTGTGTTTATGTGCTTACATTTATCAGCTCCCCATGTGAGACGTGCATTAATACATCCTCAAAAGTCGTGAAAAAAAAAAAAAAAAAGGTAGAATAGCTACTACACTCCACAGCTACATCGATCAGTTTGCCCTGACACACTGCGACGTTTTATAGCACAGCTGAGCAAAGGCCTCTAGGAACCATGGGAAAATAAAACTGCTGTGTTTTGACAGGGCGATGAGGGATAACTGAGGTATTGTACAACAACTGGCTGTACACAAAATTGCTTCCCTTTATTGGACTCACCAGGTCCAATTGGTCCTTTGAATTCTGCAGTCCAAGCTCGTCTATGTGCTCTGTCCTCTTTGGACGTTTTTCTGTCTCTTCTTTTTCGGCTGAGTCAACAACTTTTCAAAGTTCACTCCCTTTCTCTGTTTTCTACTTTCTTTTTAAATGTGAAGGCAAGACAGAACAGACGGCCCTGTTCACTTTTTAAAAGACCATTAAAGATATATATTTATGTACATGAAATTGTAAAACACTTAAAAAGGTACCAATAATTTGACCAGGCTACACCGTCTGGATCCTCAGTTCAGATCTTTGAATGGGAGGACTCTTTAGACTCCTGACTCCAGGTGATTGTCTTTGGAGGGACTGTAAGGGACTATCCTCCCGTCCCTTTGTCACTCAGTCAGTTAACCCCAATACATCCCCCCCCCCCCCCAAGACCTCCTTTTCTCCCTCTTTTTTTCCACTCGGTGGACCATCACTCAAAACGCTCGTAGTTCCTGGTTTGCCGGATCCGTGGGACCATGTCCACCAGCAGCCTGTGGGAGAGAAGGTTGGATTTAGGAATCTATTTTTCGACCATAACAAGCATGATTTCTGGGGAAAGATCTATTTTTAGCACAGACTGTAAATATTAATGAAGGAAATCTGAGTGACGTCACCCATCTGTTCCTGCAGGGGGTGCTGGAGGCTCATCGACAGCTGTCGCTATGCTGGAAATGCAGTCTCACCCTACCGTTCAATCAACCCTACAGCAGGCTAAGAGCTGGAGCTGAGGCGGGTTTAAAGCCTCTTGACATAAAGCTCTGGTTGTATCTTTACATAGATACGTTAGCCCAACAACAAAGTCATATACTGTAGACCAGTGGTTCCCAAAGTCGGGGGCCGGGACCTCCTGGGGGGGGGGGGGTCGCAAGAATTCTCCCAAAACATATCAAAATTAAAAATGACCTGAAGTTGCATATTTTAACCATTATTGTAAATAAATATGTACAAAAAAGTAGTTGAAGAGATCACTTATGTTCTGCTCTTAGCATTTCTTGCAATCAATTACTAAAATAATGTTAGGGTGTTCTCTTGAGTTGTTCTAATGCCAGTGTTTGGATAGGCCTATAAGTCTGCCCGGGTGTTTGCAACGCTAAATGTTTTAACCACCTCCTGGTACTTACTTGACTCCGTAGGCGAGGATGATAAAACCAATGAGGACGCCTATTGTCCCATCCAGGTACCACACCTTGGGCTCATGCTTGAACACTTCAGCACTTATTAGGATGGAGAATCCCATGATTGCCCCCACCAGTGAGTTAAATCCTGGTAAAAAAAAAAAAAAGAAGAAAAATTATGTTGCTTTTTTGGTGCTCAGTGTTGTTGAAACTTCCCCTTGACGACTTCTAGAGCCAGTTTACATGTTTAAGTGACTATGGGTGTTGTCTACAACAGTATTCACATGACATGACAGACTCTGGAAGTATCTCTCATGTCTGTCATAAACTGAAAGGGTCATCCTGCAACTGACAGTCAGTTGCTTCATGGCAGAGAGGTAAGAATGAACGAGACACCAGAGTGATAAGTATGTTTGTGCTTGAATACAAACAATGTGTCACACTAGAGGTCCCACTGCGATGAAGGAAATGACTGTAATTCCTCAGTTGAAATCTCTTGCTGCCTTCTATGCTGCCTATTGTAAAATTTCACAATAAAGACGCATTTCAGTGAAATCATCATTAATTTGATTCCAGAAGGTAAGATACATGAATATCGCATGAATACGCATTTATGAAAAACAGAACACACACCTTAATGTTTGTCTATAGCCTTGAACTTAATATATAATGAACCAAAAGACTCCTTCGTTTAAGTTAGTGTGTGTACACCTACCATCAGTCATGAGGGCTCGGCTCGTGAGTACTTTGCCGAGCATAAACTTGATCACAGCGAGGACGAGACACAGCAAGCCACTGACGATGGACACGCTGAACAGGAATCCATCCTGAGAGAGACAGACAGAAGCACAGAGAGATATTACGAGTCAAGGTTTTTTTTTTTCTGTATTCTCCTCCTGTTCATGTCACTGGGACTGGTGTCCCTCAGGGTATAATTCTAGGTCCTCCCTCAAAGTTCACCCCTTTTCCATTTTTCACAAACTCCTTGCAGACTAAGTGGTTTCCTCACAGCTGGCCTGACACTTCAAAACAACATGTTGATTTATCGTACCACCTGACCATTTAATCAAACTGTAGTCTGATTTTTTTCTTTACTTTCAATGAATTGCTTTAGTGTTCTGCGGCACGTCCTTTGTGTTAGGTAAAGTATTTGAATCCTCTCTCTTCAATTCTAGTAATAATAGTTGGACCTGTTGTGAGTCTCACTGGAAAACATGTCAGCTAAATGACTGAAATGTAAATTCAAAATGGATGGGTCGAGGAGAGAAAATGAGCTGCAGAGCCCTCAGTGCCTCCAAGCCAACATTAATATTGCACTATGGCCTTGGAGCCACGAAAAGCTACTTTGATGAGCTTGCAGACATCAAAGAGGAGATGGTGAGAAAACCTCAGCATGCTGAATAAAACCTGAGTCAGTATTGTGACTCAGCTGTGGAAGTAAAATCCAAATAGCACATTATCCTTGGTATATTGAAATCATTATCAAGAACTAATAAACGAGAGAACACAACGAACTGGCAACAGGAGGGAGAACACACAGGGATTAAATACACAGACAATCAGGCTCCAACGAGACAGGTGAGGGTAATCAGGGCGGAGCTGACACACAAGGCGGGAACAAGAGGGGCAAGATCTGAAAGACATGGGCCGTATCCAAATTGCCAAGTACATACTGAATCTTTCAGTATGCAGTATGCAGTAGATACTATCCGTGCTGTATACTGTTAGTACCTACTATTCAGTATGCACACACAGTAGGCAGATATTTGTTCCTACTTCTTCTGATTCATTCAGTATGGAAGTGACGTCATTTACGTTTCCCGAACCGGCCGCATCCACCTGTTTTTGTTTAGTTTTTTTGTTTAGCTTTATTCAAGAAGAGTAATGCGCATATACAGTCAGGTAAACAAACAACAATATCACAATGTCAAGACAGATTGAATAACTAAATAACATACAGTACATACAGGAAAGTACAAATGAAAGACAGTAATATACAGAATATAAAATAAACCAATAAAGACACATTTAAATAGTGAAATCATTATTTAAATAGAGGGAGAAAGGTTTTATAATAATGCAGACATTTGTTATATTGTCTGTTGTTAATTTAAAGTGGTGATTTCAGTCGGGACTTTAACTCTAGATTAAAAATTGATTATATTAATCCATGCTCGTTTGTTTTGATTTGGAGGCGGACGTGACGTGACAATTTACGTTTAATTTCACACAGCATTGTGGGTGGTAAAACACAATTCATTTCCTGAAAGCATGCATCCGATCCATACTGCATGAAACCCGGAAGTTAGTATGCATACTGAAATGTTCAGTATACTGAAACTCCATAATAAATAGTATGTACTGCATACTGAACTGTGGCTATTCAGAAAGAGCCAGAGACAAGGGTGAAAACCAAAACACAACAAAACCCAGGAAAATAATATTAAATTTGCAAAACACAAAACAAAACCTAATGCAGACAGAAACCCTTGTCAGTGGCGTTCTACAGGGATCAATACAAGGACCCTTACTCTTCCTTTTTAGACAAAGGAGATGGTGATTGACTTATGCAGGAAGTCACCCCAGACTGCACCAGTGAACATCCAGGGCTTGGACATCGAGAGGGTGGAGACGTACAAATACCTGGGTGTTCACCTCAACAACAAACTGGACTGGTCACACAACACCGACGTCCTGTACAAGAAGGGCCAATGCCGACTACACCTGCTGAGACGACTGAGGTCCTTTGGAGTGTGCAGAACTCTCCTACAGACCTTTTATGACACTGTGGTGGCGTCTGCACTTTTCTATGCAGTGGTCTGCTGGGGAGGAGGGAGCACAGAGAGAGACAGGAAGAGACTGAACAGACTGGTCAGGAGGGCCAGTTCTGTCTTGGACTGTCCTCTGGACTCTGTAGAGGAGGTGGGTGAGAGGAGGATGTTAGCGAAGCTGACATCCATCATGGACAACCCCTCTCACCCCCTACATGACACTGTGGGCCCTGAGCAGCTCCTTCAGCAGCAGACTGAGACACCCACCCTGCAAGACAGAGCGCTACCGCAGGTCGTTCATCCCATCTGCAGTCAGACTGTTTAATCAGACTCTTTAACAGCATCACCACCTCATGCTACACACTGTGTGTTTTTTTTAAGAACAAAACCCTTTCCTGTGTAGTTACTGTGTAATTTTCCATTATTGTATTTTTTTATTTAACTGATGTAAATATATTTGATTTGATTTTAACTTCTATTTTTATTTTTAATAATTATATTCCCGTCCCCTCTTTTCTGGAGCTGCTGTAATGCACAAATTTCCCCCATGGCATATCTCAAGTTAAATTAAATCAATATCATGATGCAGCAGCAGTGTTTTGATCATTGTGAACTTGATTTGTCAGAAGCAAGTAGTAAGCTTTAAATAGTAAGTATTTTGATGCATAAATATTTTCATTATGTTTCATTATATCAGGACATTTTATTTATTTATATTAAATCTGACACATTAAACATTTAAAGATTTTTTGGGGGCTTTTTGTGCCTTTAGCCCAAACCACATGTCCAAACAGTTTTCCACTCCTGCATCAAGAATTGAATACCTCTGTTACTCCGACAAAAGACTCTATGACCTCTTAGGACAGTGGATAGAGTCGGAAACCAGGGAGAGAGAGAGAGAGAGAGAGAGGGGAATGACATGCAGGAAAGGAGCCACAGGCTGGATTTGAACCTGGGCCGCCCGCTTGGAAGACTATAGCCTCCACACATGGGGGGCGCGCACTAAACACTGCACCACCATTTCCCAAACATTTATAGATTTTTTCATTTTTAGAAAACATCAGAAAAAGAAAAAAAGTCATAAAGCATATTAATGTACTAATCGACAACAGTCATTTGGTTATTTTTAGCAGTTCTACTTCCTGTATGATTAAATAAATAACGTTATGAGGAAAACCCCAGTGGCCTTCTTATCTACTTTCAAAGTACCACAGACACACACACACACACACACACACACACACAACACACACACACCAATGAGAGGTTTTGCTCATGACAAATAGAGCCTGCCTAGAATAGGAACACTGCTTGACATTTACATTTGACAACCAGAGAGCCTTGAACAGAATATCAAAATGGTACAGATTGTTCTGTTGACTTTCAGGATAGGAGGAATCAAGAACACCAAAAATGTTTATTATTCATAAAGACTTGACTATAATGGAGAAAAAAAATGGAACAAATGATCTGTAGATTTTTAAAATGATAAGTGTTTCTGCCATGTGGTTAGCTTAGCTTAGCATAATGTGCAACCTTTAGCTTATTTCCAGTATCTAACTACTTATAAAACCTCAGGCTGTTCATTATTTAAGCAGAACTCGGAGGAGTTAAAAGACATGCATTGAAAACAGGTTCAAAAAGTCCAATTGCACTGATTTAGTTTTCACAAACCATTGATGATATTTAAGACAACAGCTAACTAACAATGATTGGGCTCAGAGGACGAGCTTGGCAGGAGCAATGTGTCCTCGTCCTCTCTCCTATTTCCATATCCGTCCTCTTGCTCCTTCTCACCACTGCATACCTTAGCAGCTGCCTGCCTTATTAACATCTCATAGCCAGGACGAGGAGATGTAGGCGGTAAAAAACAACGAAAAAACACCTTGTGTGCAGCATTATCATTCAAAGAGGGGCTGTGACACAAACGATACGGTCAACTGGGAAAGCAGTCTAGCAGAAGCAAAGTGTGTGAGAAAGAAGCAGCAGGTAGACTAAGAATAACACAACGTGTTTTCTGCTGCATGGTGTTCAGCCTTTGTTTATACTGCGCCGCTTACTAGGCCTGTCTCTCACCCTCACCGCAGCCAAAGATTACTGAAAGGGGGAAGCCCTGTTAGTCCGATAAATCAATAAAGGATTTGAAAACATATTACATTTTGAGCCTAAGTGAGTTATTTGAAACTCTTCATGCCTTGTTGTTGCATATTTTTGTTCTGCAGCTAATCCAGGAAAATGAAAAATAGGATTTAGACTGTTTTTTTTTTTACCCATAAAAATGAATTCATAACAATATTACACAAAGCATTTTACAATAAAACAAAAAAGTCGGTGAAAATGTTGTTTAACTTCTTACATAGCAGGCAGAGTATTGAATTTTCCACTGAGAAATTCCCAGCCCCAACAAACACTTAGAGAGCTGGAAAAAGTAAGAAGGTCAAGTGGTGCCCTCATGATCTTCCTCCCAACTTTCTTCTTCTTTACTTAATCAGACATAATAATGACTGAGTTCTTATTCCCAAATAAAACCAGGGATGTCACCAGGGATCACAGGAGATTTCCTCACCGGGATTTCAAGAACCATAGCCTTGATTGTCCAACTTTTTCCCTTCTCCACTCGATCGTGGTAGAAAGAAGAAGGCATGTCTAAGAGGCGTTCTTGCTCTCCCCACAACCCCAACATGTGTAAGTAGTGTTTTTTCTTAAAATCTCATTCTGTGGCCTCTTAAGAGTCAATTCATCGACTATCTTTGGCTGATATCTACCCCCTGCAGCAGCTGTTTCAGGCATTACAAATAACTTCACTGTTTATGATAATAGTCTTGTTTGCTTTTGTTGGTCATATAGAGACATCAGTATTAATTCCAGTCAGTTTCATAAGCAGCGAAAGAATCCTCACAGGAGCTTTAAGTTCATTTAACCAGGCAGTTACTGAGTTTAAATATTTTATTATGAAAATGAGTGATTCAATAAATCATAACTTAAAGGCTTAAAGGGACAACACAAAACGATACTGCATCAGATTACATCATGGAGCCCAAGACTAAACAACTAAACCACTCTTCTCGGGAATTCAGAAAAACAAAGCATTGCGTTCCCATTTTTGGCAACAGGGTGCTGAAGCTATTTCAGGAAGTGTGAAAGCTTAACGTCTTCACACCTGAGATTTGTGACATTCTTCCCCGGTTAACACTTTTATCTCAAACACATTTTCATGTAATAAAACCCGTACAAAATCTGAATCGAATTTAAGATACGGCACAATAATCCTCAAATATGTCTTGATCTACTTTGTTCCATGTTTTGCTCTGAAAACAATTTCTCTACATGTATTCATTATCAACAAACGACCACCTCCATACATATTTTGATGACATCTTTTTCAGTCTGAAATTAATGAACATTCAGACAAAGCAGCGATAACAAGCTGCTTGTGAACAGGCAAGGCAGGCAACCGCTTGAAGGCTGACAAACTTAAACCAATGCGACCGCCCCTAAATGTGCACATTTTGCAACAACAGTAGGAAACCTCCCTAAGGGGGCACCCCCATCTGAAAGTCCTGCTAAGGCTTTCATGACTGCTGTGACATCAAAGATGGTCAGTGAAAGTCAACAAAGAAGAATTATTTAAAAAGGAAACAGGAAGTAAGAGGAAGTAAGAGGAAGAGGAGTCAGCGTCGGGACACTGGCAGACACGATGGTGATGAAGTCTGGTTGGAGACCCAAAAGACCCTAGAATCGCCACTGACAACAAGATATTCTGTCCTTTTTAAAGGGCACATATTATTCAAAACACAAGTTACTCTGGTTAATTTATGTGTCCCTAGTCTGTCTACAACTCCCAAATTATGCGGAAAAGTCCATCATCTTCTTCTTTCGTCTGCTCCACTTTTCAGGAAATGTGTGCTCAAACAGGCCATTTGGAGGGTTTCCCTTCATGACATCACAAAGGGCAGTAACCCCTCCCCCAGGTGGGTGACACTCCCACAGCTAGGTGTTGTTTAAAGGAGTTTAATATGTGACTGAAAGCTTTTCTTAAGTTAAAACAGCTCTGGCTCTTTGAAAAGAAAGATGTCATGTAATCTTCTTGTCCTGTGATCTCACCACGAGTTGAGACAAACTGCGTGGTAAAATATTTCTGTTGACCAATCAGGATTCAGCTGCATCTGTGTGTTTATTTGCTTACTTGTCAATCAAACTGTGCCCACACACTCCTCATGTGGCAGGCTGTCATTTCTGTTGTCATTTTCAGGCAAATCTTTTGAATTTGGTTGCAACAAATTCAGACAAAAATGTTGATCGTTGGGGAAAATAAAAAAAAGGATTTGAAGCTTTGAATCAGAATTATCTGAGGAATTAAACAGGGGATTTGCCATTGTGAAATATATATTCTCCCCGCTCTTTATGAAAACATTTTTTTTTGTATTTAAAAATGTTTGAATGTTAAATATCTTGTGATGCTGTTAATGTTGTTGAAAATAATGTGCCAATAAGTGCAGAATGGAAGATAGAAATGATGTAAGTGCAGAACCTGTTAGTGGTCCCTTTTCATTGACCTCTATGACCTCACATCACACAGCTAAAGAATATAAAAGCTACAATACAGAGCACTGAATGCAACAAAAATACCAGGTTTCTGAGCTTGACAAAGTAATGCAGCCTGCTGATTTATAAATTAACACAAAGCATCTAGACTGGTTTTTGTTTCATCTCAAGGAAAATTAAAAACACTGAGACGGTTCACCATCTTCTTTAAACTCGGCCTGACCCGCTGACCTTTCAGGTACCAGCCCACGAGACATCCAAAGTGCTGAAAATGCCGACTTATTAGATCCACTGCCTGTTTAGAAGGGGTCATGTTTGTGTTGAATTACACTCAAAGCTCAAGGTAAACTGAGCTTTTTTTTAGGCTTTTTAGTGATATCCGAGTCTCTGGCAGTGTTGTTGCCGTCAGAGGGAGGGGCAGATAAGACCCTGTCTGGACTGTTTGTTCTATCTGCCAAAAGCTTGGCAAAAAAGCCACAAAATCCACCAAAAATCCCACTATATACCATTTTTGTGGGGGGCTTAAATTCTGCACTCTGAACCACTTTGAGGACAGAACCTGCTTTGACCCTGTTTGACAAGCATCTGTGCCACAGAATGCTAATGTGGTTTGGCTTTGTAGCCTAAGTGCTTAATGGGTAATGTAATCTAGCCCATATGGTGGATGCTTTAATCCAGAATAGTATCCACCTCCAGTTGGAATCAAATGTTGACCCCTTACCAAACCGCTCAGAGGCATTCAGCAGACCGCTGGTGTACACTGAAACAAAGTACTCCATTCTTATATGACATCATGTTATCTGTGCTTTATGTGTAATATCAGCTAAACCATTTAAATCACGTTTAAATCAAACATTCAATTCTTACCACTTCAGGTAGCAGCTTGGTGGCCAGGTCATGGATGGCTTTACCCATGATGCAAAAGGAGGACAGGATAAAAACCACGCCCAGAATAACACAGGCTCTGCAGAAAGGGAAAAGAGAAACTTTAGTCACAAGAGTTATGTTATTAAAGTGAGGAGTGTTGTTGGTGCAGCTTCAGCTGTGCAGGAGTTCAAATCTCCACCGCGCTTTGAAAATACTGAACGCAGTCAGTAAGCTCAGAGACTTTGAATGATACTAAAATAATGTCTCAATGCTTTACGATACACATTCTCTGCTGAGAAAGAACAGCAGACACTTTTTTTGTTTGTGAGTATAAACACAAACACTTTATCTACATATAGTGGAGGAACCACCCCCCCAAAAAGGCTTTAGTTTTCGAGATACCCCTACCTGAGGTAGAACAAAGCACAACCATATTTTTTCATAACTTGAACATGTCTAGTTTATGAAACGGATGATTATATAAAAATATTTTACTGCAAAATAACTTTTTAAATAACTCACTGTCTCCAAATGGGACAGCTCTAGCCTTATCACATGTATCTCTGGGAATCAGAATTTCACCAAATTTGGACAGGATGTTCACAGATAGTTATTAGTTACAATTATGCAAAGTTTTTATCAATACCATTTTAAATTTTTGAATTTTTCACACTTAAACACACATGTAGTTTAGTAATTAGGTATGTATATCAAAGTCTGTCATTTTTTAAGTAAGGACACCAAACATTAAAATATGTCATTTTTATCTTCTTTAGACTGTTATCTCAACATAAAAGCAAGTTATTTGACTTTTCACTTGACCCTATGCTGTCACCAGCCCCTAACAGGAAACTAGTGCAGCCAGGATTTCAGGGCGACCTGGTACAATGGGGCCCTATGGATGTGTATGTGGGAGGAGGTGGCCACAAACAATTGATTAAGACAATATAATTGTATTCTGTAATATATATATAATTAAACATTTTATAGTTATTCCTAATACACTTTGTCTCATATTTTCTATCTTACATATGATTTATATGATGACACTCAGAGTCAACCCGCTACTTTCAACAATATTGTCACCTATGACATTGTTTCTATTTTATTCTAAAAAATTAAAGCATTGTCTTGACATCAGTTATGAAATATTAATGAACTAAAAAACAGTATTGATATATATAACCTTGAGTTCTTAGAAATTAAATATACTTCATATAGACTATTTGTATATCGGATATACAGCCTGTTGTAGTTATTTTTTATGTATTTCAGTCATATAAAGATGGTGTGTCGTCACCATATCTCCTGCTTTTAAGAACAACCCTAGTTACTCCAGAGGATCCACTGGATGAAGGGATAGTTTTTATAATACCCTAAGTATGATAAAGTGTTAAAAAAAAAACTACAATAGCTATTTTTGTTGAATGATTTATCAGGCAACCAATGGAGCTGGGATCCAAAACAATTCTTATGATGGTGTAAATGTGTGTAAGGTAAATTAGGATAACAATCATGCAAACATGTTTATAAAAAACTTCTTTATACACTTATTTTACCTCATTATATATAATGACATTTGATTTTAAATGCTAATTACATGCACTAGATGCATAAAACATCCCAAAAAAGTTATTTTGCAGTAAAATATTTTTATACAACCATCCGTTTCATAAACTAGACATGTTCAAGTTATGAAAAAATATGGTTGTGCTTTGTTCTACCTCGGGTAGGGGTCTCTCAACTTTTAGGGGCCCAAGTTCCTCTACTAATATACGTTCATGTTACTTTCAAGATCACATCTAGCACCATCATCAGGTCATTTTTTCTGTCAAATAGATGACTGATGATTATATTTGGGCTTTTGTGCCTTTATTTGCAAAAGCGAAATGACCGGCAACCTGTCCAGGGTGTACCCCGCCTCTCGCCCAATGACAGCTGAGATCATCTCGAGGCCCCCTGCGGCCCCTAACGGGATAAGCAACATAGATAATAGATAATTGGCTGGCTGATTGATAGCTTAACATTAGCATTTACCTCAAAGCACCACTCTTGCAGAACTCTTGTTGTTTCATTGAACAGGGGACGGAGACAACTGAGCTGCTACCCTTGAATAATCCTGAACAAAATATATCTGAGGTACAGGATGAAGAAGATGTTTTTAAACCACCTCAACCCAACTATCAAAGTCCAAAAAAAACAACAGGAGCTTATGCCATGGCCATGCATGGCTACCAGTCTGTGTTCGATTCTGAAGGCCGCTCGCCAAACCACAGCTGGTGTCATGGGTTTTGACCAGATGAGGTAACCACGGCAACCCCGACATCCCTCCAGGATTTCGCAGCCGGACACGCACGCACACACACACACACACACACACACACACACACACACACAACATGGGAGCCCTCGATCCACTCTAACTGGCACCCTGTTGTTTCTTGCACATCACCAAGAAATACAACAACAACAACAACAACACCACCCAGCAAAGACACTTCATTTTTACAGAATGAGATTAGTTCTTCATAGAAAACGTGTCCGGCTTTGCTTTTTAATATCAATCCCACCACTTCTTTTGTCTCTCAAGGCTCTACATTTTTTAATAAAAAGGGACAAAAAAACTTCCTAATTCATCTTCTTTTGACTTGTGTCTCGCCTGTTACCTTGGCAACCGGTCTGTACCTGAGCATCACTATGCGACCACTTCTTCTCTATGAGACACAAACGGCTACAAAAAAAATGATGATGATGAATAGCATTGATTCTCTTGTTTTGTGCCACACAAACAATAAAACACATGTTGGAGGTGATAAAAGACACAATGCTACTGGATATGTGTGACTGTTCATGTGTTTATATGTGCCTACACTTAGTATATACATGTGTGAGTGGGTGTTTTATGTGTTTGAAGTGGACTCTCCCGTTTCTGTGTATCTTTCTGTGTTTGTGTGTCTTAGTTTGGGAAACCTAACTTCTCGTTGAAGCCAATTACTGGCAGAGAAGCTTCCTGAACTTTTTCTGAATTCTCCAATTAGCTGCTCAAGTGCCATCATGAGCACTGCTGTAACAAACCGAGTCTTAGTGGAAGTTTTAATGAGAAGATGCAACACTCTTAAAGCTTTTAATTACCTGCCCTGCTGCAAAGAGAGAGAGAGGTGTTGTCCTTTTTGTCACATCATCTGATACTTGAATCATCTCAGTGTCTGTGGTAGATACAGTCGCTCTCTCTCTCTCTCTCTCTCTCTCTCTCTCTCTATCACTAAAGACAATCAGTTCACTACCTTCAGGGTTTTTGCCACTTAAGGTTTGCTTGTGAAATTTTCCCACATGTGAACGAGGAAGTCAGGAAGAATTCAGAGGCAGGGTGTCCTGGAGGTTTTTAGAAATGTTCAGGAGTTCTTGTGAAAGTCTTAAACCCAACACACACACACACACACACACACATTTTTGATTTGTTGTATAGCAGATGCTCTTTTCTGATTTTTTGGGGGTGTGAAACATAGAATATGGATTAATGTTTACTTCCTTTATGCATATTCATTTGAAATAAAGGAACACACAGCTGCACTACACTGGGTTTCCTTTCCTTTCTTACTCCCTTTCTGTCCCCTGCCTGCCGCCAACACTCTGACCATTCAGCAGGCTCTGAAAAGCCCACCTGACACACACACACACACACACACACAGCATTGTCAGCCAGGTACAGATAAGACGTGAGGCACTCGTCTGTGATCGGTCCCAGTGGGAGGAGGTTGACAGAGCTTGAAGAGACCTTCTGTTTGACACACTCCTCAGTAGGACAAAGCAGAACAAACACACAACTGCTCTGATTTCAACACAAATGATAAACAGAATATACAGAAATGAAAGCACTGATTACACTATCTGTGCATTTAATTGATCAATAAATACCAAAACTAGAAATGGGCTTCTTTTTATGTCTAAACCTTCTCTTTTGATAATTTTAGGAGATTATTAGAAAAAATAATAAGAAAAAGTTTCTTATTAGAAAATACTTTTTAAGGCACTTGCACTTTATACCAAATGGGTCTTTCTCAGGGAAAGTTGTTCACCAAATGGAACATTCTCAGCGATATTTGTGCTGGATTTTTTATTTTTTTGATATCCTTTATGAATCCCTGAGGGAAATTCAGGTTTACACTCTGTTATTTATAGGGACATGCTGCTCGCACACATAGGCCTGAATCACACACATGCACAAACAGGACCTGTGGACATGCATTAGTGGAGAGATGTCAGAGTGGGGCTGCTACAAGCTGCTAAGCAGGGAGCGCACCAGAGCAGTTGGGGGGTTTGGTGCCTTGCTCAAGGGCACCTCGGCAGTGCTCAGGAAGTGCCCTGACACCTCTCCAGCTACCAGACCAACTTCCAGATTTGGTCCGCATGTATAATATATATAAAAGGAAGCATCACTTAGAAGATTTTAAAGGAGGAATGTGCAACATTAAACACACATATACAGCAGAAATCAAGTCTCTCCTGTGTAAATGTCTCTCTGAGTCATGACTGTCTACAATGAGTGAGAAGCTCGAGTCCCACTGGCTGTGTTGTTGTCAGAGCCGTGTTTACATCATCAGGTTTTGGACGCCCTTGCATATAAAGCTGTTTCAGTCGAGGACTAGAGGAAAGAAGACCATGTAGATCAAAATATGTGCAATGTGAATCTATGAGTGTGCTAACATTAGCGTGCTAACACAACAAGGCAGACATCTTGCATCTCGAGCAACCCAATTTAGCCCGCCGATTGAGCTTAATTATGGTGCGTTCCAACTGATAATTCTTTCATGCAAAGGTGAGAGGAGGGGGTTGGAGGTGGAGGAGAGCGGAGGCTTCAGTATGGAGGAGGCGTGGCCAAACAGCAGTTTGTTTTGGTTTAATGCTGGAGCTCAAGGGGCGACTTCTACTGGATCAAAAAGTTGCACATTCTTCCTTTAATGCCTCTGGACTTCATTTGTTTTCAGGTATTTGAAGCTTGAGTGGACACCATTATTTCCAACCAGTCTGGTCTGCGGTGGCTGAAAGGTGGTTGTACTCACATGTATTCACGGTGTGCTGAGTGAACCGCTGCGGCGTTGCTGTATCGCCACACCACAATGATGGAGGACAAGACGTCCAGCATGGCATCAAACTGCAGAAAAACAAAACGGACACTTTAGATTCTTCTTTTAGACGGCACACAGAGTTAGCCATAGTGTATTTTTTTTTTTTTTTTAAAGTGGAAGCTTTAAACTTCAACTTACGGCAAATCCAAAAGCTGAAGCACTGTGACGCATGAAGGAAACAGCTGGAAAGAAAAGAGAGATAGAATGAATCACAAGAACGATACAAGATGCTGCTTTAATACATAGACTGTGTATTAAAGATGGATGGAGCAACAGCTGCCTGGGAGTGAAGCCAATTTCTTTTAAAGCTCTCCCTGCCAGGAGTTAGTCCAGAGGAGGGGCCAGGGGTGGCATAGGTCCCCCCAAAAAATCCCACACTGTGATTGGTCCTTTGCCCTGTCAGAGGAGTGTTGCGTAACGGCTCTGTCAGCAGAGTCAGTTATTCTCCTGTTTATTTATGTCCAAGAGTTTTTTTGTGTTCATTCGTTTTTTGATGGATATGACGTCATGATTGACAGCTCTGTTGACCGTTTTTTGTTGCAGATTTCTGACAGCACGATGAGGATTTTCTGATTCTGCCTCTCTACAGAAACAAATAAAGGGGCGACTGCTGCCGAATAAAAATTCCAGTCAGGATTTCTGTTATTTAAATGAGGGATTCCTGGGCGACTGCGTGCTCTCTGGTTGTTTAACCGCAGTGATGGATCATTATAATGTCACACTCAGAGGTGCATTTTTATGACTGTTTCCAGTTAGTGCAGCAAACCTGATAGACGAGATAAGATGGATTCTGTTGACTTAAGTAATTCAGTTATCAGGATATCTCTTTTGGCCTAATGATATGAGCTGTGATAGGTTAATAACAAACATTGAGCCACAGCTGCTGCATGCATTCACCTGCATTGAGAGGGGGTGAGGAGAGAGAGACACAAAGGAGAGAAAGATGCAGAAAGATAGAGGGGAGGAATCCTCTCCACTCCTCCCTGGTTTATTTTTAGAGTGAATCACTGGGGGCCGGCTTCTCGCCTCAGCCCTGCATGCAGAAACACAGCTATGTGTTTTTTCTTCCTCTGCGTTCCCCCTCAAGTTGCTCCATTCCTCTCTACTGAAAGGAGAGGGAAATCATCACCTTCACCTTCTCCCTCCCTATTGTGACATCTCCTCTTTTGCTACCATGTTTTAGCGACGCTCTCTCTCGGCTGAAGTTGCAATCTTATGAAGTTAAAACGGGAAAACGATGCCGCCTCCCTTGCATCTGCAAACCTTTACACGTGGCCACCCCAGAATACAAATGAGAAGGTGGGATCGTTTTGTTATGAAGACTCAGCAGAGGAGCAGCAAGACAGCAGTTTGAACAACTGTTTGCAAAAAGTACAGAAAAAACATGCAGACATGCCTTTTGGATATATCAATATATGAACCCACAAATTGTCTTTTTTTAGTGGAATTGTATCATTGGATTGATTGTGTCTCCAAAATACATTTCAAACACAAGGTCTGTCAAAAGATACAAATTTTAAATTGCAGTTAATCGCTGAATTTGAATAGTTAATCACAATTAATCTGATTTTTGATGGCATGTTTGAAATGTCATTATTCTCATTCCAAAACAGTTTTTGATATAAAGATAAAGATACACTTTATTTATTGACATTTTGTTGTTACAAAAGCTCAAAAACAGGAGTATAATTAGCAGAAATAACAAAAAGTAAAAAAAAAAAAAGAAAAGAAAACATATTTACATTCATTAAATAAAGCAAGAAAAATATGATATAGATAAAATAATACTAGGCATATACTATATACACTTTCACTTGTGGAAAGACAGAGGAAAGTTCCTGGCAGCATTTTTGTTTTTGAAATGTTTGGACCCCTCCCGCTTTTTTATTGATTCTGCACCGCAGGAACTAAGAACTGTTTTAGTTCCTAGAACCCGTTTAAAGGAACTTTTTTCAGCTCCTGCTTCAGAGTAGGTACCATGGCGGTGTAAATGCAGACAGATAAAACAAAAGAGTACATGGTGTGTAGTTCTCAGGGAACTCCTTAGTGTAGTGGTTCCCAAAGTGGGGGTCGGGACCCCCTGGGGGCTGGGAGGGGGGGGCGAGAGATGCCTTACAAAAACAAATACAAATTTGAAATTACTTAAAATTGTAGAATATAATAATTTTAAGGCTGCTGTATTCTTTAGTGTTGTTCTAATGTCTGGATAGGCCTCTTCCTGCATGCTGCTGTGTGCAATGTTAAATGCTTTAACCATTTCCAGGGACAAAGGGGGTCCCCAGTCCCTCAAATTCTTATTTCAGGGGTCCCGGGGTGAAAAGTTTGGGAACCCCTGCCCTAGTGGATAGTTCCTTTTCAAAAAGTCCCCAGAACACCTATGAACCTATCTGTGGAGAAAAAGGAACTTGTTTTGGATCTGAAAGTAAATGAAACCGCTGAAGGTTTTTTAAAAGTGAAATGAGACATTTAAAGGTGTAGAGGTGTTGGTCTTTTCCATCAATGTGCCTACAGTGTGGTGGCTTAGCAACAGTGCGCCTAAAGGGAAAAAAATAGGACACGATCAATGTGATTAAGAAAATAATGCAGCCATTCCAGACCTTAATCGCATCATGAGTAACACTTAATGTAGCTTAAATGACTTTTCTCATCTGTGGTTCCATCTTTTTCAGTGCAAATTATAAACACTTGTACAGAAATTGCCAATAAAAAAATAATAATCAGGACCCAGGACCCTCTCTTCCTTGTTCAGCATTACAGCTCCTATAATAATTTTGTCCCAAACAGGTACATGTAGTGTTTTGGATCAAAAACTCCATCTTGCTTTCTTTAACAGACAAATGTGTGACTCATTGAGAATATTTGCAGTTTGAAATGTAAAACAAAAAGGCTCTTTGTAGCTAAACCCTTAAAGTGACACCTATCCCCCGTCAGCATTTCATAACAGGCTTAAAAACATCATAGCAGCTTTAATTTCAGAAAGATGAATGATCGTTTGAACAAGCCATGCCACTAAGACTTTAAGGTAAAAGAGCAGTTCGTGTTTTTACAGTTGCAAGTTGGAGCTGAGCAGAGGGTGTAACATTCAACAGCTGTGTGGAGAGAGTGAGGAGCAGGTTGTAGTTCTTAAAGACACAATCTTCATTCTACATGTCCCTCCCACAGTGACATGCATTCATATCCTATTACTGAATGTCAAATATTCATGTACCATTTACCTCCAGATCGCTGGTGTGGTTGTGGGCCTGCCTGACTCCAACTGCTACAACTATTAATATCATCTATCATCATTATTATAAATGTGAATCCGCTTGACTTCAACTGCATTAGCATTATCAGTCCTCCCCATTTTATTGTCATTACTGTTGAGGTTGAAATAAGGATGATCAATCTACTATCAGACTTTGATGTTACTGCTAATCTCACACCTAGTTTTATCGTTTTAACAGTTGTTGTTGTCAGAAATCATTTTTTTTACTCGCTGTTGTTTCCCACACAGCTTCTGCAGATGGCTGTTCAACATGTCATGACATAGAGTCCCTTTTCTGCCAAAAAAAATCCAAGATACCAATTCCTTCTGGAAGAAATCTCAGAATCAGTTGAGGAAACGGCCGTATGTGTTGTAGTAAATGTCTGTAAATAGAGGACATTGGTGGGAGTGGCCTGCGGTGCTGTGCATTCTGGGATTTGGTGTCTTTCATCCACATGAGCCAAAAAGACACTTTCTGTCTTTTCTCGACTTCAAAATGTATTTCACATTTCTACTACATATATGACCCAATGTCAATACAGATTGATGTTTCAATGGTGAAGTATCCCTTTAAATAATATAACAAAGAGTAGACCTTCTTTGTTTGTAAAGTATCAGGAGATCAACTGATTGATTGACAACTTCTTCTGAACGTGGCAAAACTTGTTCTTCCTCTTCTCTTGTTCTTTTGGAACAAACCTATATAACTCTATAACTATGAAGTTACAGGAGTCCTAGGACAGCTCCCTGTGTAGTCTCAATATAGATATGACAGCAGATAAACTGCCTTTGTCTCCTTTAGGTTTACCTACGTAACTCACTGTCATTATCAACACTTCAGTCACAACAGGCGGTTTCAGTCCTTGTGATATTGATGCTAGCAGCAGCTGCTCTGTAGAAGCATTATTACAGGACAATTACATTTTTGTAAAACAACTCGTTTCCACTTTACGGAGGCAAGTCAACAGGAAGTCCACTCGGTCCTATCTCTGTGATATCCGATGTGTCTGCAAAACTCCTCCCCTCCCTGAAATATCGGTCCAGAATGTGCCGAGAGTATCTTATGACAAACTGAAGCGGTGGATTTCAGAAACAGTATGACAGTTTGCTAGCTTGGCTAAAAGGCCGCTAACTAGCTAACAGTAGCTAGTGGGGACACAATGAGCCTCTCCCCCCATGGCTTTAGGTAGCTTCTGACAGGTTTTTAGCCATCCGTAAAGAAATGCACTTCCTTATGTAAGACACCATCCATATACTTATGGGTCTACAGACACCAGTCTCTTATGTGAGTGGAAACGAGGCATCAGGCCTGTGATTATTATTATTATTGTGAAGCGTGAGATCTCCTTAAGTTTTCTCTGCAAAGTTAACTTGATCACATAATTAGTTTTTACATCATCGACAGTGTACCATTGTTTACACAGAGACTGTCAGGGTGGAGGTTTTGCTCATGTGAAGAAATAAGCCAACCCATATATGCTCCAGTTCCAAGTGTTGTAACAGGTAGCAAATAGAAATTGACAGCTGTTCAAATGAAAGTAAATATAAGAGGGAGGGACTGTGTCGACAGCAAAGTGACACGCACCCGCTTGAGTTGACATAACAAGAGGAAAAGTATCAGACGGGCTCTTTTGTGTACATATAAAGGATTTTGAAACACTTAGGTGAGCGTGTCTGTAAGAGTACAAACAACACACGACAGGGTTTATATAACGTACAGCTTCATTCCTCAATTATCTCCTAAACCTTCAAGGGAGCAGGTTTGTACCAGAGAGTACAACACAAGCACAACTCTTCAGATTCTTGAAATGTATTCATGACCAAATCTGAATTTAGCCTTAATCCTATTTTAAAGATTTTTTTTTTTTATCTAGTAAAGAATCAAGAAATTTCTGCTTCCCCTCCCTCGTCTCCTCTTTCCTTCCCTTTTCTCCTCCCACCGCACTCATTAAGGGAGCAGAAGGAAATTAAGTGAGTGTAAATGAATCTGCTGCGGCTCTGCGGTTGTCAAAGCTGAGCCTGGCGATGGCTAATTGGCTCCCAAGAAAGGCTGTTTGGGTGTCAGTGGGGACGGAGCTGCAGCATCACATCAGGCTATCACACGCACACACACACACACACACACACACGAGGTCTCTTTCCCTGTCTCTTCCATCCTCTATCCTGCTTCCAAGAGAAGCAAGATAAAAAGAAGATAAAACACCATTTCAGCTCTGGCTGTTTCTGGAGCAGCATTATGCATTTAAAGAGACACACACACCAAAACGGAGCGTTCTCAGAGAGCTGGTTTATACAGGGTCACAAACCTCCTCTGGTGCTTGATTCATGTTATATTTTGACCCAAGCACAGCACAGATGTTTCATTTAGACCACAGAGGACTGTTTGAAAAGGTGGAGAAGGAGGATGATATGTCCTCTTTAACGTGTGAGTCATGGTGAGTTAGATTGGACCAAACACTAAAATGTAACTCTTTTGTTTTTAAAGCTTTTCCAAAAGTGTCCAAATCTGTTAATTTGACATTTTACTCTGCCTCGCCAAGTTACCAACACTTCTCACAATGTCTCCCACAAACCTGATATTTTAAACTCCACAGACAGACATAAAGCTGCTCTTTCCTGTCATAAAGAAATGAAATCTTATGCATGTTGGAGTCATGCTAATGTTTAACAGGGTATGTTACCCAGCAGCTATCATTCTGTCAACATATAGAGCTGACAGAGAACAGCAGCAGGTGGTGATGACAGGACCAGCACCCTGCAGGCTCCTGATAGGGCAACTATGCATGCACCATATACTTCATTGTAAAGACACCGCCACACTTGGTTGTGGTTTGTGTCCCAAATACTTAATACCAAATATTAAAGTATCAGATCTTTGTGAGATCACTCCTTTAAAATGTTTGTCTGAGTTTCACGTCGTGCTATCTGTGGGGTCAGTGTGTCTTTAAATATCTACACAGTGTAGCATCAAATAAATGTTAAATGTGCATTTAAGAGCACTCTTTTGATATTACCAGTGGCAGTTAATTAAGTCCATGCTAAAATCTTTAACTTTTACATTATTTGTGTTTCTGACTGTTTGGCTAGGTAGCTTAGAGGACACTGATCTCAGACCTGCTGCTTTCCTGTATTCATGTTTCAACCAACAGATGTTGCCTGTAGGTGTTCCAACCATTCACATCTCTGTTTCAAACCTTCCTGCACCACTCTCACTCTAGTTTCAGGAATATCTGAAATACCGAGCCAAACAACATATTCCCAAAAAGTAGGCCGTGCATAAGAGGCGTGCAGTACACTTGCCAAAACCCTGCTATGTCATTTCTAAAATGTTGTGATATTAAGGAACATATCATAAGGGAATACATTTACCTCATTCACTAAATAATGTCCAAATCTGAGTCCTCCATTAAGTCTTTAGAATTCAAGACACTAAACGAGACTGGTGTTCTGGGGTTTTCTTTTCTATTCGTTTCATTTTCTTTGTATGTTCTCTCTTCAAAGTCAATTACTTCCTTCCTTTGAATATGTTTTCTTTGGTGTGGCTTAATTTATAATGCTAGCTATCGCTGGGAGCTCATTATAATAACACCTGCCATGGGAAGGGGGGGGTGCCCTTTTGAAAACCTGCCACTCAACTCATGTCCACTTTTTAGTGGGTTGCCTTGAGGGAGGGAAAAGGAGAGAGCGATTCCACTGGCTCACATGGTGGTGCAGGACCTGTAAAGGTGAGCCGGTTGCGGTTACCCTTATCGTATCTCGCATTCAAAGTTGATTTCATAATTACTATCTCCTTAAAATAATCCCATATGTAAAATATAAATCCAGATATCAAATTCTGGAATGGCAACACAGTTGTATAAATAGATAGAAATGCAATCAGTATGCAGTTTATCTGCTATCTAAATTATTTTACCACCACGCAAAGCATCTGCAGCTGAATTATACAGGACCGGTTTCAGTGATTTGAAATGAAGAGAAATGTTTCAGAATGGAATTATTGGCTTCAGTAACTAAACACACACACACACAAACACACACACACACACACACACACACACACACACACACACACACAAACACACACACAACAAAGAAGGAAGCTGTAAGGCAGGCCTGTCCTGCTTCTCTACTAATCATTCCTTATCAGAACAGGAAGCGGGCAAAATGTTTGAAACAACACCGACTGAACTCAGGAAGAGGCTCTGTTTTTCTACAACAAAATGTTTTTGCTGGGTCCTTCACTAATCATGCCCTAGTGGCTCAACTTGTGCAGAATTCCAATTTTCTATTGGCAGTTAAACAAGACTCTCATTAAATATTGACCCACTGGATTTATGTTTGTGAGCATCAAAATCATGCAAATACAAAAGTGCTAACAGGTGACACCGCTGTGACTTCAGCCTCCTTCCTGTGCTCATTTCAGAAGTCGATTTGCAAGCAGGACCATGTTTCATTTATGAGTAGGAGTGGGCACGATGTGACAAGCTCGGGGGTACCACAGAGATGTGATAAAAATGCCTAATGAAGACATTTGCATGAATAGATGCTCAGTGATAAGAAATGGTCTGTTTGCACTTCCTGCAGACAGTCATTCTGAATAACTTTTAAAAATGGAGTCTAGAGAAATGTGCTATCTTTCTTTCTCACTGACATCAGTTCATAACAGGAAACTCAGGCATGTCTGCAAACCACAGCTGCGGTGACCGGCCACACTGCAGCAAAGCTCAGGCATGTGTCAAGCACTAATCGGCTTTCACCGCAGAGGAGGAAGAGGTATCGTTTGAATATTGCAGAAACAATCAACCTTATCCTGCATGAGCACTGCATGTCAAACTTGACTTTAGGTGTGGTGGATGGTAAAATAATGACAGGATTTTCTGAATGGAACGTCTAGTTAAACAACAAAAACATGATAAAACATTCACTGATCTACAAAGAGAATCATATCCTGAATCAGACTCAAAGTGGGAAAATTTGAGCTAAAGATTTGAAAGAAAAGGCTGAAAGAGACTAATCTTCCCTGAGTGAGTCACCACATCCACTCGGGGGGGGGGGGGGTCTCATCCTTGACAAAAAGAGAAAAATAAGACTGTTTACGACAAAGACAGGTGCTCAAAAATGTTTTGCCTCTGAGAGAAAGAAAGAAAACCTCAATAACTGATAAAACATTCAAGGCCCACTTCCCACTTTTGAAAGAAAAAATAAACGTCCCGTGTTGCTTCCTTATCAAAGCAGTGTGGTGACGTCAATAGCTTGTCCTTCATGTTGTCAAGTGTTGTGGTTTCGTCGGGGCTGCTGGATGCCAAAGTAATGAACAAACTGTCCTCCAACTAAACGGGTTACTCACTGAAAGCAACGATAGCCAGGACGATGGTGACCACTATGGACACCCAGGACACCCACAGTGCTTTCTTGCGGAAACTCTGTGCTTCATGAGGCTTCAGGCGCATGCTGCTTTCCAGGAGACCTGCAGACAGGAACACAGGGCACAGTGAACACACATGACTCAGAGAGAGAAGGGGAGGAGATGGTTTAGTTTGTCAGGGACAATATATATTTGAATATTTTTCAGTCTTATAAATATCTGTTCACTCAGTTTTGCTCAGTGAGGTAAATGGACTTGAGCTTATATAGCGCTTTTACACTGCAGGTCACAGCTACACATTCACACACTGATGGTAGAGATCACTATGTAGTATCATATATCTACATTCATACACCACCACCCAAGCAGAGGGAGCAATGCAGGGTTAAGTGTCTTGCCCAAGGACACATCGGAGATGTTGCCCAGCTGGGGATCGAACCCTCGACCTTCCGGTTGAGAGGCGACTCTACCCACTGAGCCACAGCCGCCCTTGGTAACACTTGTGTGCGAAAAGGGCTTTGCAATTAATCGAAAATGAATGGAAACAGACATTCAGAACCTCTAACCGACATAATCTCGCCCATATCGATTATTTTCAGGGCCGAGTCACATGATGACATGTCCGCAATGTCCGTCGTTTGGACACATTTTGTCTTTAGGGAAGACGACGCCGAACAAAAAGAAGCAGGTGTCAGACGAAGAGATTAACTGACTGCTGCAGAACCAGTATGTGTTGACCTTTTAAACCCTAAAGATTGACTGATACGTTTGACGCATCTCTAAAAAGAGAACACTACTTACACATGTACGGGACAAAATTCACTAAAGCAATAGGGAGGTATGGCTTCGTCCACAGGGGGGCGCCAAAATCAACACAAATCAAAAGTTTCCTCACAGGAGCTTTAACCTCGAGCGTTTAAATGTTACCTTTTAAGAAACTACACTTAAGGAAACCGGTTTTAAACAGCTTTGTAATTTTTTGTAACATGTCAAATTTAACTCAAAATATGAAGCTCATGCAGCATTGTCTATTTCACCAAATTAACGAGGAACCACACATAGGTAGCTGCACCAAGTTGCATTGTCAAAACCAATTCACTCACTCATTCACATGACGCCGCAGGAGCTGGGGATCGAACCGCCGACCTTCTGGTTGAGACGACCGACTCCACCACTGAGCCACGGTCCCCAAATGACTGACTGTTTTGAATTGGTTTTCAGAACTTGTTTCAGTGACAGGTGCAGGATTATTATCAGCAAATTGCATTTAAAGCACCTGTGAGGAGCATCTTCAGAAGTCTCTATTCTGTAGTGTTCATTTTGTTTCTCCAGAAAGGAATGTTTCAAAAAATACAACATAAAAACAGCGAAGAGATCTCGAGGTGCCCTATTGTTTAAGTTTTTGGGCAACTTTGCCATTGTTTTTTCTCTAATAATGGATTTGAAGTGTCTAAAGATGTAAATTCTGGTTTGCGTTTTTTTTGTTTTGGAGTTTAAAAATTAAAAAAAAAAAATTAGAGAATGGAAAAAGACCAATTTCCTGCTGTGTCTTTCATCATTAGAAGTACACAGATTAACTTGACTGTTCTGAAGTTGTCCATTCAAGAAGAACATCAGCTCATCAACACATTCACCAAAACAGCCCTAACATGCCCAATTCAACACACTGTGTCGATCAAATTCAAGCCAAACACCTGCCACTGGCTGCTTTTGTTTTTCACTCCCACTTCCCCAAATGTATTCACAAACACTGTCATAACAGCGCAGTGTTTGAGGCTGAATGCTGATTCCAGCTCAGTTAATAATTTATCATATTACCTCAATAAAAGTCGATTTCATTTTCAAACATTAAGGGACACAAACAGGTAATAAAACCACGGCACTTCTTAGAATGGTCGGCTAAACAGGTGATATAATAACAATGTTAGGGTGCTCTCCGTGGCATTACGCACTGTGCGCCCTGGAGAAGGGCATCTTCAACTTTCAACATGTTTCACAGCGCCTACCTCCGTCCTCTAAGCTGTCTGTTATCTTCATCTCCTGGTCCATCTTTAAAGCCTCTCCCTGACTTTCTGTGTGAAGCTGCTGCTGCTGCTGCTGCTGCTGGTCCAGGGGTTCCGTCTGCTCACACTGCCCGTTCACCGCCTTGGTTTCCACCACTGTTACCGGGTCCGGGACGGCGGTGGGGTCTGGCGCGAGGGGTCCGTCATTGTCTCGTTCGAGTTGTGCGGTTCTAATGAGGAACTCCAGAAATGTCACACCTGGACGAGAAGTGTGAAGGGAAGGGAGACTCCTCTCCTTGCAGGGCTGCGGGTCCAGCTGCGCTAAAAAAAAAAAAAAAAACACACATTGTAAAGGTGGAACAGTACCGGAAATGAGATGTGGTCTTCAAAATAAAAGGCTGTTCGTCAGTTAATATAGCGTTTTTGCCCAAAGTCTTTTTTTTTTAAAACACACAATTGATCTGAGTAATGTGTTGGCATCATTTTTGCCATAAGGCCATTTAACCATTGTTTGCAATTAAACACAGACTTATCATTCCTCCAAAAATGGTACAAACTCAAATTTTGATAATTTACAATGAACACAGTTGCATATAGCCTATAAAATCTTGAATTTAGCCTACATGTTGGCTACTTCTTTACACATTTGCCTACATTTAAGATGACTAAAACACCAGGTGCGCTTGCGTTTTGCTCTGTTAGCAGCAGGAAACACCTTCTATGTGTGGAAATCAGTTCATGGTTATAAATTGGTGCAAGTAGAAGTCTAAGTTTACGAAGCCCAAATGAATAATAGACTAGCTATTTATTTTGAAGGTGAAAACCGGAAGTCTACTAGTAAGCCTGTGTATACATACCGCAAACCTGATCCCAAGTCTTGACAAAAAAAAAAAAAAAAACACACACAACAGGTTCTAATTCGCGACGGTGTGCAAAACAAACACCTGGACTCTAATTACGGATCCAGGAAAGTTCACGCTAAGAATCCGCGTCCACGAGTTCAAACATCTGGATGTCATATGTTCAGTCGATGTTAAAACATCTGTCTCATGTCATATGTTCAGTCTATGGTCCCATGCAATGGTGTATTGCAGGGTATACGCCACTTATTATTCAGTCCCCTTAGACTTCTAAACACCTCTGATTCACATCACTGATTCATTGGCACTATTCAGTATGCTGCATTTTTTAAGGCTGGTGAAGGGACGACCCTCCCTACTCTGTCTCTTATTTGCAAGTATGCACTGACTAAATGTGCAAGAGTATTCTTACATGTACCTCTTCTTAAAATAGACCTTTTTTTCTCTGCTGGGCGGGTCACTTAAAGAAATAAAAAAAACATTTAGGGGGGAAATTAAGAGTACACTTTCCCATGGGAATTGAACCAGCCGGGGGAAATAGGGACATACTGGATCTGTTCTTCACCTGTCACATAACCTAAACTAAAGCACACAAGAAAATAAGTTGGCCAAACAGTCTGTCATCGTGAGAAGCAAAATATATTGTTTTTCTCCTGTGGCAAAGTATAGCCTGCTGATAAAATGCTTATTTTTATTTATTATTTTATTAATTTCAAATTCTTTATGGCACGAGAATATTTCAAAACTCTTATATTTCATGGGATT